TGGCTTTCACCTTTGGAAGCTAAGGCTCGAAAAGACCCAATATGGAGGCTAAATGGCCAAAATATTGGGAAATACTAGAAAAGATGGAGACAATTGGAAATTGCAGAGTTTGGAGAAAATGAAAGACAAAGTGCGAGATTGGTTACATTACGCTCAGATTAAAGAAGTTTTTAAAAATGATAAGAAACTAGGGTTCCAGGTGGAGAAATCGAAATTAGAAACAGAATTGTTAGAACCAAAGACTAAGGTACTTTCAAGGATGTATAACTTGCTGTTGGAATGGAATACACAACATGAAATGGTTAAATCGGCTATGATAAGGTGGGCACAGGACATTGGGTATAATATTATGTTTGAGGACTGGGAAAAGTTGTGGAGTAATGGATTGAAATTTACTGCATGTAACGCTCTGAAAGAAAATGTAATGAAAATGATTTATAGATGGTATATGACCCCAGTTAAACTTGCAAAAATTTACCACCTGTCTGATAACAAGTGTTGGAAATGTAAGGAGTGTGAGGGAACGTTCTTCCACCTCTGGTGGACCTGCCCTAAAGTGAAGGCGTTCTGGGAAATGATTTATAATGAATTGAAAAAGGTATTTAAATATACCTTTACCAAGAAACCAGAGGCTTTCCTTCTGGGTATTGTCAGCCAAGGGGTGGCAAAGAAGGACCAGACATTTTTTATGTATGCAACAACAGCAGCAAGGATACTTCTTGCAAAACATTGGAAAACTCAAGATTTACCCACACTGGAAGAATGGTAGATGCAACTGATAGGCTACATGGAACTGGCTGAAATGACTGGCAGAATCCGTGACCTGGGAGAAGAGAGAATCGAGGAGGATTGGAAGAAATTTAAGAACTATCTACAAAAATATTGTGATTTGAGTGAATGCTAAATAAGATGCTAGACTAAATAACTGAGCACCACTTAACTTAGAAGTTTTTAAGAAAACAAGTAAGACTGTGAAAGTTTAACTCTTTATGAGAACCATAAGATTATGAAACATTGAAGAGATATAAGAATTTAAATAAGATGATAAATTGCTGACAAAATGTTATAACGATGAAAGTGGGAGCGGGGGATGTGAGGAAGTCCAAAGAAAATGTGAAACTATGTTAAGACAAATGTTATATTGTTTATTATGTCTATTTTTATTGTAAAACCCAATAAATTGCTTTAAAAAAAAAAAAAAAGATATGCATGAAGCACCTGTTTGAGCACCCAGTTCTTCATCCAGCTATGGATAGATGTGCGGAGCCTTGTTTTTGAACGGTCATAGCTCAGACCTGTTGTTCAAAGGGGAACACTGTGTTTACTCAGGGTTTAGTCCTCCATCTTTTCTCACTTCCAAATAGCTCAATTAGCACAATTGCTGATTGATTTTCAGGATTGGGAGCTGAGTTGGGTGGGCAAAATTTGGACTGGGCCCTTTAAGCATATCAGAACCTTCGCATACTCTTCTTCCCCCCAAAAAAACAAACTTGAAAATATATGATTCTAATTTTAAAATGCACACTACGCAAAACAAATATTAATTCTCTGCAATATGCAGCTACACTTTCTTGTCTTTTTATGAAGTGTGAAATCTATTATAGTTATAATATGGTTTGGACTGAAGTTTTTCTTAATTATAGGCTTGGTAAATGAACACTTTCAATTTGCAAGCTCACAAATTATGCCATCGTTGGCTTCAATCCAGCAAACCGACTATATACATTCAGGTTTACATAGGTGAGTAGTTCCACTTAAAGTGTTGAGGTTACTGGTCAGTATAAAATTAAATTTGTTAATGAGCTTTCAATAGAGACATTGCATTTTAATGAACTGCCTTTCATGGGAAAATAATTAAAACATTATCATTGCTTGTTTTCAGAAGAATGAAACTTGCTAGATTGCAAAGTTCATCAACAATTCTGTTTGCTATATTTTTTAACATACAACTTTGTTAGCCGCAGTTTGAGAAGAGCTGGGAGTTAAGCGTTAAGGCACATGTACCGTAATCTAGGACAGCCCTTAAGTTGACCCAGAAGCTTCAGCTACAGCAAAATGTGAAGACTTGACCGCTCACTGGGGCAGGATATCTTCATGATATTATGCCACTGCTGAAACAGAAGCTGGACCATACTGAGTCAGAGCATTGGTCCATGTATTTCAGTACTGCCAACATATATTGGCAGTGACCATAGGAGCCAACTTCTAGGGGCAGACGTCCCTCAGGGCCCCCAAAAGTTGATGGGCATTGCCATTCAAATGGCGTGCAAGCGCTGTGTCTTGTGATAATGTGGGGTGGGGCATACCTGGGCCCTCCAATATTTTATTCAAATTGGCACCCCTGACTCCAGATATTATTTCAAGGGGTGGTGAGGGTAAGATCCTTGATTTTATGAGTTTTTCCTTTGCTAATTTATCTATCTATTCAACTGCTAGTCAGTTCACTGTTAGGCATATCATTTGCTTTCTTGCCCCTAACACTTTCTCAGCTATCTCTTGAGCTTTATTTCTTCCTGCCAGAACTACAACTTCAGACGGGATTTCATAATTGGAAGGGGGTATATAGGTACGTCAAGCTGTTACAGCCCCTAATCAGATAGAAGTTCAGCTACTTCATTACAGCAACATCTCTCTGATTCTTGCCTATGTGTTTGAAGGTCAGCCTTGTCCCTATAAGCAAATGGGAACCTACTGATAAATATTTTAAGGCATTAGTAAGCATTGCAGGTTGTGGCCGTTTAGTGTGTGCTGTTTAGATTTTCTAATCGCAAGCAAGAAGTTTCTCTCTCGGATTCCATCCAGTTGTGGTCTGCCATGCACTTTGATATTTTAGAATGCTGATCAGAGAACACCATATGGCTTTTTGTCATTAGTCACATCAGTCTGCAAATAGACTTTGCTGTATTTCTGTGGGTTCAATTAGAATTTTCATAGAATTGTAGAGTTGGAAGGGACCTCTGAGGGTCAACTAGTCCAACCCCCTTTAATGCAGGAATCTCAGCTAAAGCATCCATGACAGATGGCCATTCAACTTCAGCTTAAAAACTTCCAATGAAGGAAAGTCTACCAGCTTCCAAGGGAGACAGTTTCATTGTTGAACAGCTCTTACTGTCAGAAAGTTCTTCCTGGTGTTTCGTCAGAATCTCCCAGACCCATTGGTTTGGGTCCTACCCTCTGGAATAGGAGAAAACAAACCTGCTCCATCTTCTATTATTGTGTGGTTAGAAATCACAGTAATCTTTAATACTGGGTTCAGGGTGGGATGGGGGATATTTAATTTGGGAACAGTGAGTGGGAAAGGGAGGTGCAACTATTCCCACGCCAGCCACAGTTATGATGAAAATCCACCCCACTACTCTTGAGGCAGTGCGGATAAGAGCATTATCCCAAAGGCTAATGGTTGTATGGGGGATAATGTATATTGAGATCACCATTGTAGAGGGAACTGCTTCTAGTGCATCATGGTCTCAATGAAATTTGCCCCCCCCCCCACCTAGTATTATTATTTCTTCAAAAAGAATTATAGTTGTAACCACACAATTAGGGTAAGACCTAGATTGGACCAGTGTGCTAATTCTCTCATCCAGATTAAAAATATAAATAAGTCACATGCACTCTTTAAGGCACAGACTACCAATTCTGAAGCTGATCATCTTACGTAAAGTGATAACTCTCTTAATTACTTTGGTCTCAGTAAGGTACCCTACCAAAGTGGGTTTTTTTGTTTTATTTTTTTGCTAATCTGTTTCCTTGGTTGTGTTTCAGTAGAAAACCCTTAAAGCTGACATGCAACCAATTAGTAAGATAAAACAAAAGAGCAAACATAAAAGTTTAGCAGTGAGGTCCATAAAACCAATAAAATCCAGCAGAGCTACCACATAAAAGGATACATGAGAGAACAGAGTAGAGGCTGACAATATGACATTTGCAAGTTGATCAGGAAGTTAAATGTTGTTCAGGAGTTAAATGTGTTAGGGCACTAGGCAAGGCAGGAAAATGTTTTCTGCATGCAGGTAGTTCTGTTCTTTTGCTGTTGCCACTACAAGTGTAATAGGTAAACGTGTCAACTTTTCTGCCCCTATCCCCAATTAATACTATGGCTGCCTTTATCCTGTAAGTACTTTCAGTCACCTAGAACACTATCCTTGATTTGTGTATGATCTAAATTTAAGCTTAAATAAAAAAAAATAAAAAACCCAAATTTCCTTTTAATGAACCACCGAAGAATAAATGTTAACTATGTAGGTAGACAGTGCAGTTACAAATATTAACAGCACTAATTAGGATGGCCCCACTGCTTTTGCAAAGTTAAAATGTACAGCTGAGATAAAATTAGTATAAATTAAATAGGACTGAACTAATCAGAGGGCAACATACAGTACTTAACAATAAGAAAATGCCCTTTCTAAACCCTAAGTTTAAACCATTTTTAAAAATATAAATCCAAATAAGATACTTTCCCACTCCATCTGTCCTTGAATATTTTCACACAGCTGGGTTGTTTTTTGTTTGTTTGTTTGTTTGTTTATTTATTTTATTTTAATTACACTTTATTATTATTATTATTATTTTCAAGATCCAGTTTTGCCAAGGTTCAAAACTGGAGGTGAGCTATGGCAATAGGTTAAGTTTGGTTTCCACAGAGAGGAGCTGTTCAAGGTGATACCCACCGCTACTCCCAACAGCAGCTGGGTCAAAAGCATGTAGGGTACAGGTGTGTTCGGCAGTGGTGTATTAAACAGTCAGGACTTTGAAGCTAGACAAAGTCCTAAATTGACATTTTCTACCGAGAGAGAGAGAGAGAGAGAGAGAGAGAGAGAGAGCGCCACCCCTCTTCCTGCCAGCAGCCTCAAAAACCACAAGATAAGGCCACCTCAGCCCAAATGAGCAATCTGGGGAGGCCCACAGGAAACCCCCAGCTCCATCCATCTCAGCCCCAGGTCAGCAATCGCTGAAGCTCTTGAGAGAAGAAAGTATTGCCATGGCATTTGCCAGGCCGTTCATCCCAGCAGGTACAGGTCATCGTCATCGTCGTTGTCGTCATCATCATCATCAAAGAGTGGGGTGGGGGGAGGCCGATCCTTAAGGCTCACCTCTTCCTCGTCTTCATCTTCTGCCAACAGAGTTCCCAATGCAGATGGCTTGAGAGTGGCAACTTTGAAGAAACCACCCTTGTCCTCAAGAAGACTGGAATCCGCTTACATAGGGCTGGACGCTGGTCTTGGCTGTGAGGCTCCAGCCAAGTCCTGCTGCTTGTCGGCTAGAGCAGCTTCAGAGGTGAGGCCTGCGTGTGCTGACTTGCCCCACTCTCCTCCTTGCCCTTTGGACCTGTTGTGGGCCCCTCCATTGCAGGTGCCGTCTCATCCGCCACTGGATTTGGAGGTGCCAGAATGGCGGTGTCTATTGTGTCCCTGAGTGCTTGGCTTCTCCTTCTCAATACTGGCGGAGAGCCTGAGAGGCGGCCTTGCAGTTTGAACAGAGGCTGCAGGAGTCTGTTCACCCTGTTCTTCCGAAGAATGAGCCTCAGGAGCTGCAAAAAGCAGTCTGTCTTGGGCTCCTTTGAGAGCCGTGAATGGAGGACTGCTTGAGCTTTCCTTCAGATTAGCCAAAGGAGCGGGGGATGCCACTGGTGCTGGTTTTCGGAGAAAGATGCTGTGGGGATGCCCATAAAGGGGTGCGGCACTTGGCTGCTTCCTTTCCGCAGGTCCTTCCTCCTTGGTGCTGCTCCTCCTCCTTTGCTCCCCCTGACTCTCCAGCAGCTGCAGAGTTGTTGTCTTATCCAGATTCTCCTTTGAACAAGGAGATCAGCCAGCTCTTCTTTCACGGCTGCCACCTTCTCATCCAACTGCTTCCCGATCAGCTGCTCCTCCTGGTATCTACTTTTAATGTCATCAGACGACTTCTGAAGTTCCACCAGCTGTGCATGCAGTCGGTTGACCAGGGCGCTATGCCCCTCCGACTCAGTCAGGGCTTGAGTCACTTGGGAGTGGAGATCCATCTCCTGCTTCTGATGACGGAGCTGCTCCAGCTGGAGCTGGGTGATCTGCAACTTGGCTTCTGAAGAAGAAGAAGAAGAAGAAGAAGAAGAAGAAGAAGAAGAGGAGTTTGGATTTGATATCCTGCTTTATCACTACCCTAAAGAGTCTCAAAGCGGCTAACATTCTCCTTTCCCTTCCTCCCCCACAACAAACACTCTGTGAGGTGAGTGGGGCTGAGAGACTTCAAAGAAGTGTGACTAGCCCAAGGTCACCCAGCAGCTGCATGTGGAGGAGCGGAGATGCGAACCCGGTTCCCCAGATTACGAGACTACCGCTCTTAACCACTACACCACACTGACTCTGCGATCTCCTGGCTGATCCTGACCTTATCCAGATTCTCAATTTGAACGTGGTGATAAGCCAGCTCTACGTCCAGGCCTGCCACCTTCTCCTCCAACTGCATCCCGATCAGGTTCACCTCCTGGTATCTGCTTTTCAAGTCAGACAACTTCTCAAGTTCTGCCAGCTGTGCATGCAGTAGGTTGACCAGGGCACTGTGCCCCTCCAACTCTGTCAGGGCTTCATTCAGTTGGGAGTGGAAATCCATCCCCTGCTTCTGAAGACAGATCAACCTCTGCTGGATCTGGGAGATTCGCACCATGGTTTCCGCTAGCTCCTTGCTGACCCTGACCTTCTCCTGTTCAGCATGTAGGACCTTGCCTGGGTGTGCTCCATGGTCCTTTGCAGTGAGCTGTTGCTCTGCTCAAATAACAGGTTGCTCTGCTCCACATAGCCTGGCTTTGGAGCCATGCTGGCTCTGTAGTGGGGCTTTCTGATTGTGGCGCTGGTGAAGGTGTGAGGGAGTACCTGGGGCCCAGGCTCTGTCCGGTGGAGCCAGCGTCCTTTGCAAACCACACCCATTTGACTTCCACCTCAAAGGCCAGGGTTGAGTCCGGAGGAATGCCTTCAGCTTCTCCCAAAGGCCAGTAAGCCAATGCTGGTGGGATAAGAAGGAACTGCCTGCCTCCTCTCTTCATGCCAATCATTGCATCTTCCCAGTCCTTGATGACTTTGCCAGAGCCTAGCTTCAGACGCAGCAACTGTTCTTTATTTACATTCGAGTCGAAAACCTGCCCAAGACTACCGTTCTGGAACAGCCAGCCTGTAAAAGTGATCTCCAGGACATCTCCAGTCGCCACACCTTGGCCGTCTCCGAGAACAAGATCCTGGTAAAACACTGAGTCAGGAGAAGCGCTGCTGTTATACTTGGCAATGCACAGCTGCTTGCTGAAGTCCACAGCCACCATTTCTGATTCAAACATGATGGACCATTTCTGCCACTGATCATCATAAAATGTGCTGTAGTTGTTGGGCTGCACCGTGAATACAAACTATGCATCGATCTTGGCAGTCTCAATCTGCTGCAGCTGGCTGATATAAAGAAGCAGCCTGTACTTTTTGCTTGCATTGCTGCCCACTACAGCTGCCCTATACTTGCCATGTTTCACATATCTCCCATTTGTTAATAAATATGCATGAACAACTGTAGTGAAGAAGACTGACTGCACTGCTGCAGTGGGCGCAGGAGCAGCTGTAGCTGCAGGAGGATGCTTCTGGGTAGACAGACCTGCAGCGGTAGCTGGTTGACAAATTTTGGCCCGCTTGGGTGGCCTGTATTGGAAGAGCACATTTGCAGATTCTGTAGTTGTCTGATCCTGTCCAAAGAGAGAGGCCAGCTTGGTCCCTCCCGTCGGAAGCTGGAAGACCTTGTCTTCTTCATCCATGTCCCCCAACATCCTGACGGCCCCTCGCTCCCCATGCCCCTCGGCTAAGCCCCACACAGCTGGGTTGTTGACAGCATCAGATGCTGAAAAACAAAGTCAAGTCCAAGAGAATTAGTGGATCTCATGTTCCCAAACATGCTTGCCTCAACCTGTGCAGCAATACTGTATTCTTGTGCACATATTCATTCTCTCTCTCTCTCTCTCTCTCTCTCTCTCTCTCTCTGTGTGTGTGTGTGTTTGGCAAAAGACGCAAAGACATCACATACTGTATAGATAGAATCTTTTTGGTTACATTCTTCAAATGATTTTATCATCTGAGAAAACAAGTTTTCAGGTTCAAAAAGGAAGGATAAGTTTGATATTTGTCACATTGAGCTGGTTTGCATGTAAGCAAGCAAACATGCAGGTTCCTGGAATGAAGCTAGTGACCACTGTACTCCTCCTCCAGTCCTCTTGCTGCTGTGCTACCTGGGGTAAGACATCATTTGGCTTAGCATTATGTTCAAACTTGGACTTGTGGTTGCTCTCCCCAGACAGGTCATGAGTGGCATACCAAGAACCAGCCTTGGTTACAGCTAGTGCTTTGTCTGGAGAAAGACAAACCGCAGCCCATGTTCAGACATAATGCTAAGCCAAATGATGTCTTGGCCCCAAGTAGCGCAGCAGTGGCAAGACCAGGTGAGGAGTTCATTGGCTGCAGTCTTCACTTGACGAACCTGTGCAGTTGTCTGTTCACACTGTACAAACTGAATGATTGAGTCACACTTCCAAAGATGGTTCTAACTTTGGAACTTCTACTACAGATAATGTAAATCGAGAATGAGGAACCTGTAGTCCTTGGATGTTGTTGGACTCCAACTTCTATCTGCCCCAGCCAGCCTGGCCAATGTTCTGGGATGATGGGAATTGTAGTCCAGCAACAATTCTGCTGTAGGCTTTAATTCTTCATTTGACATTCAGGCCAAAATGGCTCCTGCTACAAGCTCCCTTCTTCCAAAGCGGACTCCTGTTTTAAAAGAAGTAGTACTTGCACTATTCGTTCTACATGACTGCTCTTGAAAATAAGAGCATCAAATGTTACAATTTCAAGCTCCTCTGTCGTCTAAGACAGTCTTAAGGCAAGAGACAGGATTGTCTTTAGTGGTCTCCATTAGAGTCCAGGGTATTTGATTTGCAGTAGCTGGCTGTAGGTGACCATAATATTTGGAGGTTTTTTTTAAAAAAAAATAGAAGTCAAATCTTGTGGAATGGAGGACCCACAGACTCTTTCCATTGTGATTTCCTTCTATTTTGAAGACATCTGTAATGAAAAAGGGTCAACAGAATTTAGTAATAGTGTACCTATTATGGTACTTCAGTAAAAAAAGAAGACGAACAATGAACTAAATAGAAGACTGGTGAGCTTATTACACAGCAATGACTGTATCTGTTTAGATGAGCATATGCACGGTGTGGCAATTTTCCTCCTTTTCAGCTGTAACAGGTTTCTTTCTACCTGCAGAACATGTTCTTTTATTCTCCACTTCATTCAGGCAATAGTCAACCCAACTTGTCCTTGGTATTGTGCGATAACCCACTGAGGTAATGGCCTGAAATAATGACGAATGGGATTTGGTGAAATACTGTTCATATTAATACAACTATACAGGCCCAGACAAAGGCTCTGAAACAGGTGCAGTATTCTGTTCATCCCCTGATTTCTCTCAATATAGTCCCTGCAGAGGCACAATAACAAGAGGAAAAAATAATAAAGAAGCCATTTAAAGATCTGCAGCAGTGCTTGGTATGAATGTTTCTTTAAATGAGCCTGACCATGAGAACATAATGCATCCACGCAGCACTATGTTTCACACACAAACATGAAAACAGTTCATCAAGACAGCGTTTCAAATCTGTTAGAAACATTCCTTCCTCTTGCTCCAATAGCTCAAGTGAAAAATGGCAGCAGAAATCAAGGATTTAGAGGGCACTCAGAACAGTCTTGTTTTCATTACTGGAAAGGGCCTTTTCTGAATTAAAATTAGTTGTCTTTCATTGCACAGTGTGAGAAAGTTTACTTTGCTGCTTCCTACAGTGTTTTCAGTTTCCAAACTAGTGGCACGTTGTACTCTACATATCCACGCATTGGTTTTTTAATTATTATTTTTACATCTATATCTCATCTTTCCTGCAAGGAGTTGAAGGTGGTGTGCTTTAAATCCTGATTTTATTCTCACAAAGGCTCTGTGAGGTAGGTTAGACTGAGAGTGAGTGACTGATCCAAGGTCATTCAGTGAGCTTCATGGCTGAGTGGAATTTGAACTCTGGCCTTCCAGGTCTAAGTTAAACACTCTAATCACTGCACCACACTCAGGTGTTACATAAACACTCAAATTAGATTCACAATGCAAACTTCCCTTGCCTAATATGAAATACCATCATAATCAGTTTGAGGATATGCCAGTTTCCTAAATGGTTGTGGCCAAAACTTATAGCATAAAGGAAAGCTACAGTATTGTAGAATAACAATATATGACGAAAATATAGCACCTTGTAAGGTGATTTGCTATGGCCACTGTAAATGCCATAATTTGTTCAATTGGATGTTGTGTTTATTGACTTTATATTGATGAGTCTGTTGATCTTTTAACTATCTGTTTTTGTTTTGACTGTTTTGTGTTTTACTCTGTATTCTACTGTTAGCCACCCTGCACACCATTTTGTGTAAAAGGTGGTCTGCAAATATAATAATGAAATAATGGCATTGCTACTGTGCTTCTCTCTTCACAATAGCACAAAGGCCCTGCTTCCCATGTGTTCTTCCTTCTGAACTTTCTTTCCTTATTGGGTCTCTCTTCTATCACCTCTCCACCTCCTTTGCTGCGGTCCTTTTGCCTGGTCCCTCCCTTGCGTAATCTTGCCCATAAATTGCCATTCGCTAACTGGAAATTCTATATCCATGTTAAACTCAATGGCATTTCGGAGCGTTCTTTATATCTGCCTCCAGCAACTGATCATGCTGATCAGCTACGGCACAACCTCATGACTTGTAAGTCATGGGTAGAGAGAGCTAGTAAAGCATGCTACTGCTCTACAAGAGCTCCAGTCTTCCCTTCCTCACTTTATCATCTGAACATGCTGCTTTTAGTGGAAGCGGTTGACCTGCTATAAAGCTGATTGCACTCTGAATGTTAAATGCAGAGGAGATCACTTCCTTTTAAGCTCAGTTTAGCATTTCGTAAGTGATAAAATGTATTCAAATTACAAGAAAATCATAAAATGCGTGCATTGCCAAGAGAGAAGAGAACTGGTGTAGGGCTTAAGGATAGCTGATGAGTCACTTTCTGTTTTTCTGCAGGGCTCTACGAATTGCTGCCAAATGCCAAGTTTTGCCAAGTGTGAAATTACTCTTTCTTCTTGGTAATGTTTTGTTTCATTGGAGGGTGTAAGGGGGGTGGGGAAACAATCAAAGAAGTTCAGATTCAGAACAGTTTAGGCAGCTCATCAGAATATTGTCGCTTTGTCATCACAAGCAATACCAACTTCAGGCATTGGGTGGAAAGACTAAGTTTGCATCCTCAGTTACTCTCAAAGAAGCAGACATTTTATTTCTTTATTTATTTAAAACAGGGATTGGAAACCTGCGAGCCCTCCCAGGTGTTGCTTGACTCCAACTCCCATAAACCCCAGCTGATCTGATTATTGCCAGTAAACCATGGTTGAAGCCCTGGTTTGTTTTAACTATGACTTAGTGTTGTGTGTAAACCCTGCTATGATTCCTTAACCATGGTTTATTTGCACACCCCACTCTAGATGCTCATCAAGCTACAAAGGCAGGAGGCAGCAGTCACTGGAAAACAATCAAAATTTTGAAGAAACAGGCCATGGTTTGTTTGTTTTTGTTTGTTTGGTCAAACAATTTGTGGTTCCCGCATGGTTTGTTAAACAAACCATAGTTTAGCATTATGTTTAAACCAGGACATGGGATTTGATGAGGCAGAGCAGGAAAGTGCGAACTGGGCCCAGAATGCAAAGTTTCACAAGCAAGCCCTTAATGGTGAAAAAAGTAGTATACATCTCCACTACTAGCACTGTGTTTACATCTATTAAGAGTAATTAGGTTAATAAAGTCCAATCAATAGCATCTGTAAATTCTTGTTATGTATGAGAGCTCATCATATTCTAGGTCACATAATGCTGACAGGAGCTGACTGCTAGATGCTACAGTAATATATCATACTGTACTGTAATCATGTAGCTGGAAAATTAAGCCCTGTGCTGTTTTTAGGGAAATTTAATTAGGTTTCCTGTAAAATGCTTACTGCCAATGTTTCGGGGAAATATTTAGACAGTCTTCTTGCCTTTGAAATCTTTTGAGTTTTTTTATTGAGGTTGTCCATTGTGTGGAAGAGTTGTTGGCAGAATGTAAGAGCTGCAGTCTTCCTGCAGAGAGCAAAGCTCATATTCCATCTTGAAAAGGTTGTTTTTGAGTAGTGCTTAGTTCTTTTTACCATTGTGTTCAGTTTAAATAATTAAAAATCCTAATTGTCAGGCAAGAAGATACCAATAGAGATAACCAGCACAACAGCAAAGTACTAACAAATAAACCATCTCATCAGAGACTTAATAAAGTATTTTAAGTATTCTCCAATGCAAAAGCATACCTAGAAAACATGAAGTGAAGTCGCGTATCATCAAGGATGTAAGACTGGAATATATTTATACAAAATGTACATATATCAAACATGTTCTCTTGTCTTCATCATTTTATGTGCAGCATAAATTTTATGTACTCAAATAAAATCCACGTGAGATATGTGGACCTTCAGTTTTAAGCACATAGCTCCTATCTCTATGAATGCAATTTAGAGAAGAGTAAAATGGGGGAATAGTATGTAGATTTTAAACAAACAAGGATTTAAACACCTGCTAGTATTAATGTCAGGAATGTGAACCTCATCTTTTTTACTATTATTTGTTTCTGAAAAAGAGAACGGAAGCTTTTGCAAGTAGCAAAAAATGTCTCCTATGAC